ATTTCTATCAGATTTCGAGTTTCGAACAGAGAAACTTGGGAAATCTGCTTCAGAAGCATCTAAATCGTGTTCAAAAATGAAAACCTCCGATCTTTGTACCTGCTTTAATTTTTTTAAGCGTCAAGAGATCAGTCAGTGCTTGAAGTATGCCCTTTACAGATTAAGTTCAAAATTTCTATCAGATTTCGTGTTTCGAACCGAGAAACTTGGAAAATCTGCTTCAGAAGCACCTAAAGCGTGTTCAATAATGAAATCCTCCGATTTTTGTATCTACTTTAATTTTCTTGAAAGCGTCAAGTGATCAGTCAGTGCTTGAAGTGTGCCCTTTACACACTAAGTTCAAAATTTCTATCAGATTTCGTGTTTCGAACCGAGAAACTTGGGAAATCTGCTTCAGAAGCACCTAAAGCGTGTTCAAAAATGAAATCCTCCGATCTTTGTACCTACTTTAATTTTCTTTAATGCGTCAAGAGATCAGTCAGTGCTTGAAGTTAGCCCTTTACACATTAAGTTCAAAATTTCTATCAGATTTCGTGTTTCAAACCGAGAAACTTGGGAAATCTGCTTCAGAAGCACCTAAAGCGTGTTCAAAAATGAAATCCTCGATCTTTGTACCTACTTTAATTTTCTTTAAAGCGTCAAGTGATCAGTGAGTGCTTGAAGTGTGCCCTTTACACATTAAGTTCAAAATTTCTATCAGATTTCCTGTTTCGAACCGCGAAACTTGGGAAATCTGCTTCAGAAGCACCTAAAGCGTGTTCAAAAATGAAATCCTCCGATCTTTGTACCTACTTTAATTTTCTTTAATGCGTCAAGTGATCAGTGAGTGCTTGAAGTGTGCCCTTTACACATTAAGTTCAAAATTTCTATCAGATTTCCTGTTTCAAACCGAGAAACTTGGGAAATCTGCTTCAGAAGCACCTAAAGCGTGTTCAAAAATGAAATCCTCCAATCTTTGTACCTACTTTAATTTTCTTTAATGCGTCAAGTGATCAGTGAGTGCTTGAAGTGTGCCCTTTACACATTAAGTTCAAAATTTCTATCAGATTTCGTGTTTCAAACCGAGAAACTTGGGAAATCTGCTTCAGAAGCACCTAAAGCGTGTTCAAAAATGAAATCCTCTGATCTTTGTACCTACTTTAATTTTCTTTAATGCGTCAAGAGATCAGTTAGTTCTTGAAGTGTGCCCTTTACACATTAAGTTCACAATTCCTATCAGATTTCGTGTTTAGAACCGAGAAACTTGGAAAATCTGCTTCAGAAGTGTGTTAAAAAATGAAAACTTCTGATATTTGTAGAAGCGTCAATTTTCTTTAACGCACGGTCATGTGGCAAGAGAGTGTTGAGATATCCACCGGTTCTACGGGCGGATCGCCATTTATTAATGCAGTATGTACAATAAAGTGCTTTAAACAAGAATGGAACACCACTTAAAATCTACTATTGCCTCCTGCAAAATGGCCGAAAGGCCTCTGCGGTTGATGCTGCTGCTGTTGAGGCGGAAAGTTCTTCTGACTGTCTTGGATGTCAGCGGCGGTGATCGAGTATTGATTCGTGTTGCCCGAAATGAAGGTGCTCACGTTCGCCTGCCCTTTGGGATTGACCTGCGGACCGGAACCGAGCGGTTCCTCTTCCTCCCTGAAAACGACGCGATTAGCGCGAAACAACGGGCGCGGCGCGACTTACTTGACCACGCGGTATCCTTTCTCGTCGGCCTCGTAGAAGACGGTTCTCTTCACGTAGCCGTCGCTGTAGGAGTACTTGCCCTTGACGGCGAGTCCGTCGCGCGTCTCCTCGCGGTTGTGCTGATTGCCGCTGATCGAGTCGTCGATTTGGCTCGCGAAGCTGTACTTTGCGTTCGCCGCCTGCTCGCGGAAGATTTTCTCCTCGACGTCTTGCTGGTTGCGGCGCTGCAGGTCGGATTGGAAACGTTGGGGGACCTCGAAGCGGGGCTGTTCGTTGATCACGAAGGGGCGCTGGGTTACGAATCGCGGTGCTTGAGTTACGGGAGGGGGTGGACGGACTGGGAGTTCCTGCTGTGGTCTGCGCTGAGCGTGTCCGATATGCGTGAGGGTGGGTTCCTCGATGCTGAGGAACGCGTTTTGAGGTGTCTGTGCTTGTTGTGGAAAAAGTTGAGCGTCCTGGTTTTCGAAGGAGTTTCTCACTTGTGGCTGTAGGAGCTGGTCGGAAGGGATTGGGGATGGTAGCCTCGGTACTTCCGCTGGTCTGGGCACAAATGTTGGAAATTGGTGCTTGGGTTGAGTGGGTTGTCGGACAGGGAAAGGGGGGAACTGTTGCACTGGCTGTGGTTGAGCCTCGAAGCTATTTTGAAGGGTTGGAAAACCTCCTTGGAATTGACTGGGGACATGCCTAATGCTTCCTCTCACCTACACATTCAGATTTTTTAAATATTTGCTATCGATACCAAAAAGACTCACCTGCTGTTGTGGCCTGCGGGTACTGAAATCGGGAAACGCACCGCTGAAGAGTGGAGTTGGCGCCGGCGTCGGTACCGGATTTTGATGTTGGAAATTTACGCCATTAAACGATGGAAATCTCTGGTTGTTTGACTGGATTTGGCTAAACTGGACAGGCTCTTGACGTCTGCTGCTCGCATCATTGTCGTCAAACGGCAATTCCACGAATCGATGCTGCTGGCACTGAGACTTCGACACAATGGACACCAGCACCACCACCAACACAGTCCTTGCCGACATCTTACACTGAAATGGAGCAAGTTTCCCTGTCGCCGTTCCTTTTATGTTTGAACTAATTCAGATTTTTACCGCTCAAGGAAAAAGTTACGGAATGTATAGCTTTCACTATCGCCCTATGGCTTTTCATCGAAGAATGCGAAGAACAATTAACCTGCAAAAGGTAATTAAGAACTTTTCTACTCATTTAAATTGTTTTGAGAATTTTTTGCGAACTGATTCACTAATTGACTTGTTATTTTCGAAATAGGGGCGATCTACCAGTTTTCCTTTAGTTGATGATTTTTGCAAAAATTCAAAAATCCACATGCACTGTCGGCCGTTACGCGATCGAAGGATGCTGTTTGACAAATCGTTGCAAAAAAACCCGAATTTTATACCTTCCTAATTGACTTCTGTTCAGTTTTAGAAAATAAGAAGGTCCAGATTTACCAAGGGACCTTGTTAAAAAGGCCCTGGAGTGTCTGTTACTGTTTGGTCCTTGTTAGAATGTCTCTCTCTAGTTTGCGTCATCAGTAGTTTCATCTACCTCGCCACAGAACTTGCACATGGACTTCTCCTTGTGATAGTTGACCATCCAGTGCCCCGTAAGGACACCGGTGATCTTCCTAATTTGGCTTCTATTCAATTTTAGAACCCTAAAAGGCCCAGATTTGCCAAGGGACCCTGTTAAAAAGGTCCTGGAGTGTCTGTTACTGTTTGGTCCTTGTTAGAATGTCTCTCTCTAGTTTGCGTCATCAGTAGTTTCATCTACCTCGCCACAGAACTTGCACGCGGGCTCCTCCAGGTGATAGTTGACCATCCAGTGCCCCCGTAAGGACACCGGTGATCTTCCTAATTTGGCTTCTGTTCAGTTTTAGAAGCCTAAAAAGCCCAGATTTGCCAAAGGACCCTGTTAAAAAGGCCCTGGAGTGTCTGTTACTGTTTGGTCCTTGTTAGAATGTCTCTCTCTAGTTTGCGTCATCAGTAGTTTCATCTACCTCGCCACAGAACTTGCACGCGGGCTCCTCCAGGTGATAGTTGACCATCCAGTGCCCCCGTAAGGACACCGGTGATCTTCCTAATTTGGCTTCTGTTCAGTTTTAGAAGCCTAAAAAGCCCAGATTTGCCAAAGGACCCTGTTAAAAAGGCCCTGGAGTGTCTGTTACTGTTTGGTCCTTGTTAGAATGTCTCTCTCTAGTTTGCGTCATCAGTAGTTTCATCTACCTCGCCACAGAACTTGCACATGGACTTCTCCTGGTGATAGTTGACCATCCAGTGCCCCGTAAGGACACCGGTGATCTTCCTAATTTGGCTTCTATTCAATTTTAGAACCCTAAAAGGCCCAGATTTGCCAAGGGATCCTGTTAAAAAGGTCCTGGAGTGTCTGTTACTGTTTGGTCCTTGTTAGAATGTCTCCCTCTATTTTGCGTCATCAGCATTTTCATCTACCTCGCCACAGAACTTGCACGCGGGCTCCTCTAGGTGATAGTTGACCATCAATTGCCCCGTAAGGACACCGGTGATCTTCCTAATTTGGCTTCTATTCAATTTTAGAACCCTAAAAGGCCCAGATTTGCCAAGGGACCCTGTTAAAAAGGTCCTGGAGTGTCTGTTACTGTTTGGTCCTTGTTAGAATGTCTCCCTCTATTTTGCGTCATCAGCAGTTTCATCTACCTCGCCACAGAAACTGCACGTGGACTCCTCCAGGTGATAGTTGACCATCCAGTGCGCCCGTAAGGACAACGGTGGTCTTTCAAATCTGGATTCTATTTAGTTTTAGAAGCTTAGAAGGCCCAGATTTGCCAAGGGACCCTATTAAAAGGGCCCTGGACTGTCCTGTTCTTGCATTCGGTCACAATGGCATCCTGTGGATTTCTGCACTCACCTAATAAAGCCCCCCCCCCCAATCTCGCGATCAGCTGCATTCAATGCAGCCATAATGCGCCTCAACTGAGGCTCAGTGATGTCCACCTCCGGGTGCGATATCGGAACGATGACCACGCTGGGCCCCGCCACAGCGACTTGTCCATAGGTATGTGGTGCACCCGCAGCTTTGGGTGCTCCCGAACCTCTAGTCGTCTTCTCAGTCTGCCCTGACCCAGAAACTGGAGTGCTTCTCTCCGATCTGAGACGCTTTCTCTCTAACGTCGAGTTGTCCCCCTGAGCCAACGACCCCTTTGGCGCGGGTTCTACGCAAAGTTGCATAAAAAATCTATACGAGATTTCGGTCGGATTAAGAAATTTCATTCAATCCTGAAATCAACTGAGATGAGGGGTGAATTAACATTTGAGATTTGAGGCATAATTGTCAACTTTATTATTATTACTATCACAAGAAAAAGGCTTAAGCTAAAGTACGTTGTGGTGATGGTGGAAATCTTTCCGGTTGCGCCGCCGGAACTGGTATGCTGGCCACCCTGTATCTAAGCTGGGATCCGTGCGCGGTACTGCTAACGGACGCCGTTCCCTTGGGATCGACTTTGGGACCTTCTAGTGGAACCGCTTCCATTCTGGAATGGAAAGTGCGATGAGCGATTGGGTGGTTAAGGAGGGGTGGTGAAATCTTACCCTGTTACTCTGTAGCCCTGGTCGTCGGCAATGTAGTCGACTTTAATTTTGAAGTAGCCGTCACTGTAGGAGTAGGAGCCCTTAACGGCGGCACCGTCGCGAACCTCTTGCCGCTGGTTCGTCAAGTCGCTGATGCGGTCGTCGATGTTGGACGAAAACTCGTACTTGGCGTTTTGGTTCTGGTAGATCTCGTAGTCGTCTTGAATGGGGTCTGCTCCAGGCCTGCGCAGCGAGGGAAACTGAGGCGTTTGGGAAAACTGAGCCGGTTGCGGTTGCGACTGCTGGAACTGCTGACTTTCGTCGGCTGGGTTGACGAACTGCTGAACTCTCGGCCCGTGTCGCAGTTGCGGCGCTGCGCAAGCTGCGGCAATCAAAGCGATGGTAATCTGGAAGAAAAGTTGAGAATCGCCCCAATTTTTATCAGTGAGTCACTTACCAGGGCGGTCTGCATGGTTGTGTAGAGACAATGGCGGATACTGGTAGTTTTTTTTCTAGACATTTCGCTTAAATATCACTCGTTGAATTCCTGACTGCGGTTACCTAAAAACTTTCAAGATAATGATCTATTAATTTCGAAAATTACCAGTTTGTCACGCATTCTTTCACTGTAATCGAGGCGACTCACTAATCGCTCACGCATCCTTGTAATGGGATTGTTTAAATAGCTACGTAAATCGCTCATGTAACACCAAGTGTAACATTTTGGCGAAGCGCTAATCTTTTAACAGTATTTCAAAAAAATTGATGATGAGCCGCTTGAATTATCAATTTGGAATTCGCATGTCAAAATTCCAGATGATTTGACTCAGTCTTTAGATTTCAGCATGATTTAAGATTCAAATTAATTCATGATTCGCGATTCAAAACACATGCTTTTTTTTGAGATTCTAACGATAATTTAAAGTACAAGAGCGAGAACATTATTATATCAGGGTCACAGGATGTTTCGAGGCTTGAGAGTCTAATTCAAAGTCAAATCCAATGATTCGAAAACTTCAAGATTTAAAAATCGTGAAGATTAAAGATTCAAGATGAAGATTCAAAATGATAGAATTAAGATTCATCGTCATCTTGAATCTTCAATCATCATGAATTTTAAATCTTGAAGATTCCGAATGATTTGGATCCGAAATCATTTTGAATTTTAAATCATATTATATCTTGAACTTTGAATCTAGAAACCGCCATTCAGGATTCATGGTGATTGAATATTCCAGTTGATTTAGGATTAAAGATGAAGATTTTGAATTGAGGATTCAAAATGGTGGAATGAAGATTCATGTTTAAATCCTCAATTTGGAATCGTCATCTTGAATCCTAAATATGAATCTTCATCATTGAATTTTAAATTTTGAAGATTTCGAAGAATTTGGATCCAAAATCATCATGAATTTTAAATCATATTATATCTGGATCTTTGAATCTAGAACACTGTTATTCAGGATTCATAATGATTGAAGATTCAAGTTGATTTAATATTGAAGATGAAGATTTCAAATTGAGGATTCAAAATGATTGAATAAAAATTCATTTTGATTCCTCAATTTGAATCTTCACGCATCATGACTTTTAAATCCTGAAGATTTCTAATAATTTTGGATTTACAATCATCTTGAATTTTAAATCACATTATATCTTGAAATCTAGAAATCGTCATTCAGGATTCGTGATGATTAAAGATTCAAGTTGACTTAGGATTCAAGATGAAGATTCAAAACTGAGGATTCAAAATGATGGAATAAAGGTTAATTTTGAATTCTCAATTTGGAATCGTCACCTTGATTCCTAAATCAATTTTAATCTTCAAGCATCATGAGTTTTAAACCCTAAAGATTCCGAATAATTTGGATCCAAAATCATTTTGAATTTTAAATCATATTATATCTTGAACTTTGAATCTAGAAACCGTCATTCAGGACATTCAGGACGATGCTTGAAGATTCAAGTTGATTTAAGGTTGAAGGTGAATGTTTCAAATTGAGGATGGAAAAAGATTCATTTTTAATCCTCAATTTGGAATCTGCATCTTGAATCCTAAATCAATTTGAACCTTCAATCGCCTTGAATTTTAAACCCTGAAGATTCCGAATCATTTAGATCCAAGATCATCTTCAATTTTAAATCATATATCTTGAACTTGGAATCTACAACCCCGTCATTCAGGATTCATAATGATTGAAGATTCAAGTTGATTTAGGATTAAAGAGGCAGATTCCAAATTGAAGATTCAAAATGATGGAATAAAGATTCATTTTTAATCCTAAATTGGATTGAATCTTCATCTTGAATCTTAAATCAATTTGAATCTTGAACCATCATGAATTTTGAATCCTGAAGATTCCGAATCACTTGGATCCAAATTTATCTTAAATTTTAAATCATATTATATCTTGAACTTTGAATCTAGAATCCCGTCATTCAGGATTCATTATGATTGAAGAAGTTGATTTTGGATTCAAGATGAAGATTGCAAATTGAGGATTAAAAATGAATCTTTATTACATCATTTTGAATTCTAAATTTGAAATCTTCATCTTCAATCTTAAATCAACTTGAATCTTCAATCATTATGAATCCTTAATGACAAAGTTCTAGATTCAAGGGTCAAGATATAATATGACTGGAATTGAATTTTAGTTCAAGATGATTTTGGATCCAAATGATTCGGAATCTTCAGAATTTAAAATTCATGATGGTTGAAGATTCAAATTTAGGATTTAAGATGACGATCCTAAATTGAGGATTTCAACATGAATCTTCATTCCATCATTTTGAATCCTCCATTTGGAATCATCATCTTTAATCATAAATCAACTTGAATCTTCAATCGTCATGAATCCATGACGGGGTTATAGAGTCAAAGTTTCAAGATATAAAAAAGCATTATGCGAGTCACTCTGTAATTGGGCGCAAGCCTGTTGAGGGCCGAGAAAAAGAGAGGGATAATAAATAAATAAATATGATAAAATTCAAGATGTTTTGGATCCAAATTATTTGGAATCTTTAAGGTCTAAAATTCATGATGATTGAAGATTCAAATTGATTTAGGATCCAAGATGAAGATTCCAAATTGAGGATTCAAAATGAATTTTTTTATTCCATCGTTTTGAATATTCAATCCTAAATCAACCTGAATCTTCAATCATCATTAATCCTGAATGAGGGGGTTCTAGACTCAAAGTTCAAGATATAATAATGATTTTGGATCCAAATTGATTTAGGATTCAAGATGAAGATCTTGGATTGAGGATTGAAAATGTAACGTTAATTACAATTTATGGGTATATGATACAATAATGGGGTTAGTGCCGTCCGCAAACAATTATACGGCGAAGGTTTGGCGGTCGCCTGCGCGAAGTGCGAAGTGGCCGCCCTCTGTAGAGTTGGCGTGGAACTTTTTTCAGGGCGTCTTTAGGGCGCTCGTGTGACTTAGCTTGACTATCTTAGGATTGTACGCTGAGTTGCTTGGTGTTAGGGGTAAATAGGGGCGTGACAAGATGTATATTCTAACAATTTAAACAGTTTAAAACAAATGGACACCCTGTATAACATCTGGTCTTATTATGTAAACAACTGCACGAGTTTTTGTCGACTTTCTAATGCATAAATTACGTAAATTTAACATTATGAAGGTCAAGGTAGCAACAATAATTTGAATTTCACTCAGTTCCTACATACGCAACAGATACTTCCGTGTATGACAAGTTGCCTACCTACACGCGTGCGATCGACTACTTTTGCGATCAAGTCCTGAATTTCAAATTATGAAAATATCAATTCAACGTCAATTTAACGTATGATGACTTACTGAAATGTCGTTTAGACGTCATTTCACATCTGCGTCTCGGCAAGCTACGTGAAAAATACGTCGCTATTGCAAGATGGGAGACGTCATTTGGACGTCATTTCACATAATGTATCTGCACCCAAAACATCAAAAATTGGGATCAATTTGGGCATACGATGCCATGGAGAAACTCGAAAGAAACAAAAGTGTAAGGTTCTTTGGTATAATTAAATATTTACAAGTCTTAAAAATTTGGCCGTCAGAGGGCGCCCCAGTCTTCCTTAATCATATCGGTTCCTTTCTCCGCTATCATGTAAACCGGAGCGTTGGTATGGCCCGCGGTTATTTCGGGCATAATCGACGCGTCGATCACCCGCAAACCGGTCACGCCGTGAACGCGCAGTCTTGGATCCACGACGGCGTACTTATCGCTCCTCGGTCCCATCTTGCACGTCCCGCTGAGATGGTAGATCGTGAAGGGAAAATGGCGCACGTGACATTCCCAGTACTGGTCGGAGCCGAACTGCAAATGCCGGCAGCCCGGTACCGGTTTGCTGTGGAGTCGCGTCCCGATCGCCTGCAGAGCCGGCTGCTGCGAAATGTTGATCGCCTGCCGGATGCCCAAGATCAGCGTGTCTATGTCCTGCTGGTGCGCGAAGTAATTGGGATAGATCAGCGGCTTGCTCCTGTAGCTCGCGTCTTTGAGCGCAATTCGTCCCCTGCTCTTGGGGCGCAACAGCATCGGGAGCACCATGTAGGAGTGCACGTTTTCGATGTCGCCGTAGATCTCGTTGTAGTTCTCGTCGGTAATCCCGAAATTGTGGCGCAGCATCGGATCGGACACGAGCGACCCCGCTTGGAAGAGCAGCTCGATGTTCGGGTATCCGTCCGGATCGTTCGGGTTGTCGAAGTCCGTGAAGGTGAGCGTCTCGCATCCCCCCGGTAGGGTCAACGGTCCCTTGTGGTGCGAGAGGAAGTTGACCATGATGCTTCGCTCCATCACGTCCTGGGTTCGGATGGACATCGTCTCGTTGATGACAAATGTCAGTCCGCCTACGGCGACGTGGTCCATCAGGTTGTAACCGACCTTCAGATTCTGCACGAGCGGTATTCCCACTTGAGTCAAATGCTTCTTCGGTCCGACACCTGACAGCATCAATAGCTGGGGGGAGTTAATCGCCCCGGCTGCCAGTATGACCTCCTTGCTCGCCTGGAGCATGTAGGTGGTTCCGGCGAGCACCACCTCAACGCCCCGCGCGTGTTTGGTGACCGGATCAATTACCACCCTCTTCACCATGGCCCGCTTACGAAAGTGCAAGTTGCTTCGATTTCGGATCGGGTGAAGGTACGCCTTGCTCGAGCTGTGTCGCACCCCGTCCTGCATCGACACGTGCAACTGGGAGACGCCCACCTGGGTCGCCCCGTCGTAGTCGACGTACTTCAACCCCGACTCCATGGCCGCTTCCAACACGTGCTCGGACAGCTTGGTGCGGTACGGCGCGTAACCCACCGATAAGTACCCATCGCTTCCGTGATAGCTCCGATTGTAATCCGTAGGAATGGAGAAGTTCTCCACCTTCTTGAAGTAGGGCAGCACGTCCCGGTACGACCAGCCCGTATTGCCGAGCTTCTCCCAGTTGTCGTAGTCGCGCCGATTCCCCCTGGTGTATATCATGTAGTTCAGCACGCTGGACCCGCCCACCACCTTGCCGCGTGGCCAGTTGCACTGGCGATTCTCCATGCCCAGGCAGTACTTGTCGCTCGGCATCGTGTTGTACTTCCAATTGGCGTCGGTGAACTGAAGGTAGTTGGCGAGAATCGGCATGTCCATGATGTAATTTTCCGAAATTCCTAAAATTTGGGATGAGAATTTGAGTCGCGGGGGGTGGGGGGTGATACCTGCTTCCAACAGTAGGACGTTCCACTTTGGATTTTCGGAGAGGCGGTTCGCGATTACGCATCCCGACGTACCGGCGCCGACGATGATGAAGTCGTACGTCGGAAGGAACGTCCTTACGTCGTGCGGTTCGTTCAGGTAGTGCTGGCTTCCCTCTCCAAGGAAACTCAGGAATGACTCGATTAGCGACTGTTCCATTGTGACGTGTAGCAGTTGGAGGAGTAGCTGGAGGATGATGATGCCTCTCATTCTGTGGAGAGCTAGAGAATGAATTGCGTTAGTTTGAGCAACTATAGTGCTTTCACGGCTTTCAAGATTTCAAGAACAGCACAACCTCTCTTGTTGAGGAAGACCACGCAAAACCAAATAACTTCCTTTCTCCTTCGTCGGGATAGGAGCCAGAGGGGGAGTATTAAGGGACACACATAAGGGAACCGCCCTCCAATACGTACGCATTGTACGCCGACCGCTAACGCCGTAGTACACACGCCCGCGCACCGTAACTGTAGCGAATTTTCTACAGTGATATCAGGGCGCCATCAGGTCGATGACCGGCGATAAGGAATGAAAACGGATTCTTTCCATGCCGATTCGAGAATTCTCTATCTTTTTGTTTTGCTAAAATCGTTGTTTATATAAACTGTAATCTGCAATTTTTTTAAAATGTAGACCTTAGCCATTTTAAATTTTGGCACCCTTAAAATTGTGACCGATGGCGTCAGTTCAAAATTTTATTGATACATTTTAATGACTTCAGTAAAGGACTGAGATTTTTTGAAAATTGAGACCTCACTGTATTCCGCCTTTTTAAATTTCTTAGTTAATAGAGATGCAATATTACAAACGTTCCTTTATAATGATTCTTGAATAATTTGCCGTTTTCAAAATAATACGGGGCCAGGTAAAAAAGTTATCGGACCTAACCTTATTTTTTTAAATCGTTCACTCTGTATATTTTAATCTAAGAAGATTGCATATTGAATTCTCTGTTCAAAAATATCACACTTAAAATATTTAATATTGATTCAAAAAATTATAAAAAAATTGTAAAAAATCATTAATCATTTTGAAATTGATCTGTGTTTTTTTGAGTCATTTGAACCTTTTTATTTTTTAAATACTTTTTCTTTTTTAATTTTTTGTTATATTTTTGAAATGTAACACCCTGTATATTTTAATCTGAGGTTCTCTTTTCAGAAAATATGAACTATTGATTCAAAAAGATGATAAAAGATTTTAAAAACATTTAAAAAAATCATTAATCTTTTGGAAATTGTTTTGTGTTTTTGATTACTCTTAAGCTTCAGTAAAGGTCTGACATTTTTTTAAAATTGAGACCTCACTGCATTTCGCCTTTTTAAATTTTGGCGCTCTTGACATTGTGACCAATGGCGTCAGTTCAAAATTTTATTGATCGTGTCAGTACACTTTAACTACTTTTAAGTTTCAGTAAAGATCTGAAGTTTTTTGGAAATTGAGAGCTTATCGCATTTCTTAAAAAATTGTGGTTGCTAGTGCTATGCAAAAATGAATATAGGAGTCATGCTTTTTTTGGGTGACACTTAAAATGGTAAAATGAAAATTTAAAAATATTCGCTCGCTTAAGAGATACGAGGGACGATTTAAAAAATTGCCAATTTCAGAATGAACCTATAATTGCTTAGTTAATAGAGATGCAAAAAAATGTTTGTTACAAAAGTTCCTCTTTCCGTTTTCAAATTAATACGCTGTCAGGTAAAAAAGTTATCGGATCTAACCTCATTTTTTAAAATGGTTCACCCTGTATATTTTAACCTAAGAAGGTTGCACGTTGAATTCTCTGTTCAAAAATATCACGCTTAAAATATTAAATATTGATTCAATAAGATTATAAAATAATTTAAAAAATCATTAATCTTTTTGGAATCGCTTTGTTTTTTTTAGTCATTTGAACCTTTTTATTTTTTAAATACTTTTTCTTTTTGAATTTTTTGTGTTATATTTTTAAATGGAACAACCTGTATATTTTAATTTAATTCTCTTTTCAAAAATATAACACTAAAAATAAGAACTGTTGATTCAAAAAGATGATAAAAGGTTTTAAAAACATTAAAAAAATCATTAATCTTTTTGAAATTTGAAATTATCTGCCGTTTTCAAAATAATACGGTGCCAGGTAAAAAAGTCATCGGATCTAACCTTATTTTTTAAAATGATTCACCCTGTATATTTTAACCTAAGAAGGTTGCACATTGAATTCTCTGTTCAAAAATATCACACTTAAAAATAATATTAAATATTGATTCAAAAAGATTATAAAATAATTTAAAAAATCATTAATCTTTTTGGAATTGCTTTGTTTTTTTTAGTCATTTGAACCTTTTTATTTTTTAAATACTTTTTCTTTTTGAATTTTTTGTGTTATATTTTTAAATGGAACAACCTGTATATTTTAATTTAATTCTCTTTTCAAAAATATAACACTAAAAATAAGAACTGTTGATTCAAAAAGATGATAAAAGGTTTTAAAAACATTAAAAAAATCATTAATCTTTTTGAAATTTGAAATTATCTGCCGTTTTCAAAATAATACGGTGCCAGGTAAAAAAGTCATCGGATCTAACCTTATTTTTTAAAATGATTCACCCTGTATATTTTAACCTAAGAAGGTTGCACATTGAATTCTCTGTTCAAAAATATCACACTTAAAAATAATATTAAATATTGATTCAAAAACACTATAAAATAATTTAAAAAATCATTAATCTTTTTGGAATCGCTTTGTTTTTTTTTTAGTCATTTGAACTTTTTTATTTTTTAAATACTTTATCTTTTTGAATTTTTTGTGTTATATTTTTAAATGGAACAACCTGTATATTTTAATTTAATTCTCTTTTCAAAAATATAACACTAAAAATATGAACTGTTGATTCAAAAAGATGATAAAAGGTTTTAAAAACATGAAAAAAATCATTAATCTTTTTGAAATTTGAAATTATCTGCCGTTTTCAAAATAATACGGTGCCAGGTAAAAAAAGTCATCGGATCTAACCTTATTTTTTAAAATGATTCACCCTGTATATGTTAACCTAAGAAGATTGTATATTGAATTCTCTGTTCAAAAATATCACACTTAAAATAGTCAATATTGATTCAAAAAGATTATAAAAGGATTTTTAAAAAATTCAAAAATTTATTAATCGTTTTGAACCTTTTTATTTTTTAAATGTATTTTTTTTAAATTTATTGTAAGTTATATTCTTGAAATGGAACACCCTGTATATTTTAATCTGAGAAGGTAGTATATTGATTTCTCTTTTCAAAAATATAACACTAAAAATATGAACTATTGACTCAAAAAACACATTAAAAAAGTAATTAATCTTTTTGGAATTGTTTTGTGTTTTTTGAATCATTCGAACCTTTCTATTTTTCTAGATACTTTATTTTTGAATCTTTTTTTATCCCTCGTGTGATATATTTTTGAAAAGAAATATCATGTAGTACCTTTTTAGATTAAAATATACAGGGTGTTCCATAAAAAAGATAACTTTCTTACTTGAAGATTCAACAATCATTTTAAAGAAAATACTGCAATTACTTACGCAATTGGCGGATTACCTGGATGTTGTATTAATTAATTTGGGATTGCTCGGAGATATGGGAGAAAACGTTCCGCTGCATTTTTACTGAGACAACTGCGAATTATATAAAGTCGTTCGTTTTAAAATGAAATCCCTGTATATCCGAGAGTACTTGTAAACATTAAAATCGTAATAGCGGAAATTTTTGAATTCATTTCAATGCATATACACGCATTTAAATATTTTCTAAATTACATCCGGCAGAGAAAGATTTCATGAAAAAAAAGTTTTATTTTAGACATACCTGCATAAGTAATTCAAAAATGAGAATAATATGCAAAACGATGACGCACCGTGTACCAAAAGTATTCGTTGATCGATTTTGGGGCACAAGAACGTTCAGAAATGGAATTAATTTTTTTACGTTTCGACCAAAGGTACCAAGGCCGCCTTGTAAAAGTGCACCGGAATGGAATACTAATCACTGCAATTACCGTGTAATCCAACACTAGCATTAAGAGTAATTGAAGTTTTTTTTCTTTGAACAAGTATTTCCTTTTATTAATCACTTAACCTCTGATATCGTCAGGTATCTGAGGGTGACCAGATGGACACGACCCACAAACCCACATAGAGCCATCAAGTTGCAGAAACACTTATTTATTTATCTTGAATTTGAGTTAATTATTACATTTAATTACTTACTATTTAAGGGTCTAACCGAAACCGTCCCTAAAACACCCCAGATTCACTTCTCGACACCTCAATACCGGGGTGGAGCATTTTATGATTGGCTAATGAAAGTGCGTTCGCCAACTATTCCCGCCACTTATCGTCTAATGCTACTGTGAAGGATGTTTGAGAAACACTGTGGCCATTGCTTTCCTTTGTAGTGCTTTCAACACCTGTATAAGCACGTCTGAAGGGCTTCTCCCCTGTAATAAATTTAGTGGTAAGGCAAAGTAGAACAATTTTAAGAAAAAGATTCAGGTTGAGCGTTTTTTCAAAATTGGAATTTTTGCCTGCATTTTATTCATGACGAGCACATTAGCCACAAGCTAAAAGATGCCAACTGACTTTGTACAACCGGTCACAAAATTATTTTTAGCGCATTTTTGAAAAAAAATACGCTATTATATTCTTGAAAGCTGGCTGGCTGGCTGTCCGGCTGAGATCTCAGCAATTACAATTGCTAGAGACTTTAAATTTTCACTCAAAGCTTTCTGTTATAGTGTAGATGTGCAGGCTCTAGCCTATTTTGAGTTAAATTACTCGCGAGATCGATAATTTTAAACTTTGCTAATGAAATACTGATCTGCATTACCGAAAATGCGCTTTCATCATGCATATGCTGATTTACAACTTGTTTACAAAAACATTTAGAACTGACCTACACAACATTGATAAACAAGATTCGATTTATGGTTTATTTCAAAGGTTATTATCAAGAGAATTAGTTAATGAACTTATTATAATTTGTTAAACTCCGATAACTTTTTTATGTAATTTGCATCTGTTTCCCATAATTCACTTGCATAATCAAATTCTTGATTAGTTGCACGTTAAAGTACAATCACAGAATTACATTAGTTAGTAATAAGCAAGGTGAATGTATTACTAGATAATTTGAATTTTTCAGCTTGGTTCAATTAATTATTAAGATTATGAGTCTGTAGGGGAATAGTAACTGTTTGTATTACTTATCAACAAACTTCGGCCAAAATGGCCCTTGCGCGTTGAGAAATCACGATTCTGTGTCTCAAGTAAAAAAGTAAAGGTCAAAATGGTCCTAAAATGACCCCTTGTGATTTTGAGGAATCACGATTCCGTGATGCAGATAAAAAAGTACGGCGGAAGTGTATTGTGTATTGAGGAAAATTGAGGCAAGTAAAAAAAGTAAGGCCAAAATATTCCTGAAATGAGCCATTGTACGTTGAGGAAACACGATTCTGTGTTTCAACTAAAAAAGTACGCCTAAGATGGTACTAAAATGAGATCTTGGGCGTTCAGGAAACACGATTCCGTGATGCAAGTAAAAAAGTAAGGCCAAAATGGTCGTAAAAGAAGGTGTTGTGCCATGAGGAAGCGCGATTCTGTGATGCAAGTGAAAATTAAAGTCAAAATTGTCCTAAAATGTGCTCTTGTGTGTGGAGGAAACACGATTTCGTAATTCACGTAAAACAGTAAGACCTAAATTGCCCTGAAATGAGTCATTGTGTATTGAGGAAACACGATTCCATGATTCAAGTACAAAAACTAAAGTCAAAATGGCCCTTAAGTGAGCTCTTGCGCATTAAGGAAATGTGGTTCCGTGATTCAAGTAAAAAAAGTAACGCCAAAATGGTCAAATGAGCACTTGTGCATTGATGAAACACGATTCCATGATTCAAGTACAAAAACTAAGGTCAAAATGGTCTTAAAATGAGACCTTGCGCATTAAGGAAATACGATTCCGTGTCTCAAGTAAAAAACTAAAGTCAAAATGGCCCTTAAGTGAGCTCTTGCGCATTAATGAAATGTGATTCCGTGATTCAAGTAAAAAAAAGTAACGCCAAAATGGTCAAATGAGCACTTGTGCATTGATGAAACACGATTCCATGATTCAAGTACAAAAACTAAGGTCAAAATGGTCTTAAAATGAGACCTTGCGCATTAAGGAAATACGATTCCGTGTCTCAAGTAAAAAACTAAAGTCAAAATGGCCCTTAAGTGAGCTCTTGCGCATTAAGGAAATGTGATTCCGTGATTTAACTAAAAAATAACGCCAAAATGGTCAAATGAGCACTTGTGCATTGAGGAAACACGATTCCATGATTCAAGTACAAAAACTAAGGTCAAAATGGTCTTAAAATGAGGCCTTGCGCATTAAGGAGATACGATTCCGTGTCTCAAGTAAAAAACTAAGGTCAAAATGGCCCTAAAGTGAGCTCTTGCGCATTAAGGAAATGTGATTCCGTGATTTAACTAAAAAATAACGCCAAAATGGTCAAATGAGCCCTTGTGCATTGATGAAACACGATTCCATGATTCAAGTACAAAAACTAAGGTCAAAATGGCCCTAAAGTGAGCTCTTGCGCATTAAGGAAATGTGGATTCCATGATTCAAGTACAAAAACTAAGGTCAAAATTGTCTTTAAATGAGGCCTTGCGCATTTAGGAAATACGATTCCGTGACTCAAGTAAAAAAGTAAGCCCTAAATGGTCAAATGAGCCCTTGTGCATTGATGAAACACGATTCCATGATTCAAGTACAAAAACTAAGGTCAAAATTGTCTTTAAATGAGGCCTTGCGCATTTAGGAAATACGATTCCGTGACTCAAGTAAAAAAGTAAGCCCTAAATGGTCAAATGAGCCCTTGTGCATTGATGAAACACGATTCCATGATTCAAGTACAAAAACTAAGGTCAAAATGGCCCTAAAGTGAGCTCTTGCGCATTTAGGAAATACGATTCCGTGACTCAAGTAAAAAAGTAAGCCAAAATTTGTCAAATGAGCCCTTGTGCATTGAGGAAACACGATTCCATGATTCAAGTAAAAAAAAAATGACACCAGAATGGGCCTAAAATGTGCCCTTGTGCATTGAGGAAATTGGATTCCGTGATTCCAGGTCAAAATGGTCCTTACATAAGCCCTTTTACATTGGGCAAACATGAGCACATGATTCAAGTAAAAAACTAAGGTCAAAAATGCCCTAAAGTGGTTCTTAAATGAGCCCTTGTGCATTGAGGAATCACGATTCCATGATTCAAGTAAAAAAAGTGACGCCGGAATGGGCTTGTACATTGAGAAAACATGACTACATGATGCAAGTAAAAAACTAAGGTCAAAATGGCCCTAAAGTGAGCCCTTGCGCATTAAGGAAATGCGATTCCGTGATTTAACTAAAAAAGTAACGCCAAAATGGCCAAATGAGTCCTTGTGCATTGAGTAAACACGATTCCATGATTCAAGTATAAAAACTATTGGATTATGATTTTGAAGGTGGGCATTGTGGGTCAAGGTTCTTCGAGTGACTGCATTTATTGAAATAAGGCTTATTCATACAATGAGTGCTTTAGGCTTAATTTAATTTAAATAATAATTATCAAGAAGTTAATTACCTTATAAAATTGTATGTCTGAATTTCTCCGAGGGAACTCGAGCAATTCGTAAAATTAAGATGAAGCGGGAAGCATTTCCCAATGTTGTAAATCATTTTTAGCGCATTTTTGAAAAAAATACGCTATTATTTTCGTTATGGCTGGCTGTCTGGCTGGCTGGCTGGCAGTCTATTTTGAGTTAGATTGATAATTTTAAACTTTGCCAATAAAATACTGATCTGTAATACATGATGATAATTTACATATTAAAAACTTTGAAAATTCAAAAATTAAGAACGGCGTATCTCAGAATCTTAAAATAAGATTGGAAAACCCAAATAATCGGATTCAATAAATGGCAAGTGAACAACCAGGAGCTGGATTTTTCTTATCGATGTTGACCTGGAGTTTTTGAAATTCTCCAAAATATGTCCTCAAAATTCTATTAAAATTTCGTATTGAAAAATCGCTGCATGAAATCGAATTTTGAAACAGAAACGCGTGCGTCCTTGTTACACTCTTCCCGTCGTTCTCATTGCAAATTCGATAAACGTAGCTACCGTTTTCTGTACGAACGGTAATAATTTTGCAATTTAAATGCTTAACGTCAGCCTTATACACGAACGGCATCTTAATCGCCTTTTGTAACAAGCAAAATTTTGAGTTGGGTTTTGTAAACGAGGGTGCGTCTAATTGTTCAGGTGAGCCAATATTGACGAGCCACTTTCTCGCTCTTGACCCCGTGCGAGATTGTTGAGTGACATTAATTTTTAAAAAATCGGCACATTTTTAAAAAATTTTCAAAAACGTACCTGATTAAAATTGTATAGGTAATAATTATCCACCCCCTTGAGCTTCACGCAAACACCGCTAACAGTCACTAATTTTTCAACACTGAGCCCATCAGGTCAACTTTGTATTTACGGACACCGTTTATGATATATATTTGTAGGGGACTCCTCCCCACGGTGTAAGCGATCTTTCTTTACCGATCAGTATGCGTCGTTTTTCTTCTAACCTTCACTTCCATAAGTTCATGTAAATCAGTTTCTTTCTAGGAATAGAAGGGGGTCAAGCGCGATAAGTGATCGATGATTGTCGCTGAAAGCGTTTTATTAATTGGTGTGGTTTTCCTCCCTCAGGACAAGACCACCCTTTCGATCGAACTCAAAGTAGATTGAGAATTTTAAAATTCGAAAGTTCAGAAATCACAAGGGAATCACAATTTTCAGGTGCGGAAAACTACCTTCTTAGAGATCGTCTGGGAGGAGCTTGGACACGATCACTATGTCTCTTTTAATTGAGATTTCGATCGAACTCAAACTAGATTGAGAATTTTTGAGTTCGAAAATTCAGAAATCGCAAGTGAAAGATCACAAAAATTAGTCCTGAATTTTTGGGTTCTAAATCAAAAATCGAAAAAGAAAGATTAGAATTGTGAGGTGTGAGGCACCACCCCCTCAGAAATCGGCTTGGGGAATTTTGGACAGGGTCACAAGTTCAGTTGCAATTGAAAATTCGAGCGAACTCAA